TAATTTAGGTAGTTTTAAGACTGAATATATTTATAGGTATTCCTTAATGCATGTACCCATCTAGTAGCTGTGGTGTATGCCACACCACCGATCCCTTGGGAGAGTGACGGGTCGCTCTCATGTGACCCCGTTACACAGGATATGTTTGTTATTTTGGTTTACGCACATTATACTGCTGTCCCTCAAATGAAGAGCGATGCTCAGTTACATCACGATGAAGTACCATGAGAAAGTAGATCATTTCTCGGTATGGATGTGAGCAATGAACCTTTGAAAAGGAATTCGTAGGACACGCGGACTGCTAGCCCCACGAATTGCATTGTTTTGGATTCTGATACGAAAGATAGTAAACAGGCACTTTTTGCAAAGAAATTCCTTAAAAATTACTTGAGAGACTCTCGGCTCAGAAGCGACTGATGAACCTATCCTCTGTACGCCGGTTAACGCAGACAATAGTCAAAGCTTTATCTGTGTAAGGTGCGCGGCAACTCTCACCTACCATCTGGAGAAAAAAGTATTGTTCCCAGTTTTTTTGTCAGTGACCACATATATAACGTAGACCATAAATAAAGATAAGAGCTCAACGCAATGTCTCAATTATAAGCTCATATCACTTAAAATTGACTGCCAATCATATCAAGTTCAGTCCTTTATTGCCGCCTCACCATGAACCCGCTGGCTGAAAATTTTCGTTCCGAGAGACTTCCTAGTCCAACCACAGATGTTGCCGTGGCTACTTGTTTAGTCGCGTCTGAAAGTCTTGTTGAAGAAGAGGATGCGTTGGGACAGGAGGAGAAATGTGAGGACAATCCGGGCTGCACGAGTGATATCAGTCCTGACAACGGGTCCTATCCTGAAATCGATGAAATCTTTCCAGATACTCAATTGCTGGTGCAAGATGATCTCACAGCTGCTTCAATAAGCTCTCATACCGCTCAATCGCCCACCAAGATGCAAATGTCGCCGTCCAAGTCTAATAATTTGCCAGCCAAAGTACGGTCGTCTCCCGCTAAATCTCAATTATCTCCTGGTAATTTGCGCTCGTCACCGATTAAGATCGAATCCCCTGCCAGGATTCGATCACACCCGGAGTTGCATTCATCACCTGTAAAGGCTTCAGTTGATCCATCCCCCGTACTGGACGACACGCCCGAAGAATTTCGAGCTGAAGGTGCAGAAGGCAAGTTCACAAAGGTGTTTCCAGCCATTTCAAAACTCGTAGAGTCTAGTGGATGGCAGATTGCTCAGGGTATGAATACTCTGTTTTGTGCTATGCCGGGAGTACAATTTTTCAACTTCAAACCAAACATTAATGTGTTCGACTCAAAGATGAAGGCATGTTGGAAATTTATTGAGATCGCGGGTAAAAAAACGGGGGATCAAGAAGATCAAGAGCTCTGGAATTTGCTTTGGCCTATTGCAGAGAAGGAATTTAAGTGGTTTACTATGAATTGTGGCTCCGAGATGTGGTTCGTGAAGCCTGAGACAAAGTTTGAGAACTTTTTACCAAATGAGACAGTTTTTCAAAGTAAAAGACGTGCTGTGCTCAAGTGCCTGGCCGTAGAAGTAGGCTCAATCGATTTAGGTGAGTCTGCTGAAGGCCATCAAATCGTGTCATTCGCGCCGCATACAGTCCAATCGAAGCCCTTGCCAGTTGTAAAGAAAGCTAAGGCTTCTTTATTTAAAACACCGTCGCCTGCCATAAAGAGTTCTCAGCGATCCACTCCGGCCTCAAATTCGAAAGCCGAGTTTGTCACGCCTGCGAAGCAGGCACCGGCCCCTATGTCGTCATCTAGTGCCAAGCGTAAGTCTACTTCATCAGTCACTTCATCCATATCTGGTGCCAAGCGTAAACTTTCGTCGTCCGCTTCAAAAGTGACAAAGAATTCAGGCACTAATAAAAAGGTAAAGGCAGGCAAGGCTGGCACGAAGAAATCGGTACCCAAGAAGACGAAAAAGGTGATATCTGACACCGCATCAGACGTCAGCAAAGCGGATGATTTTAACTTTGTTGCACCGGAGTTTCGGTGCACATTTGGTATTCTGTACGCAAAACTCCAGGATGAAGGCTGGTACCATCGAAGTGGAGTGTTCGAGTATGATTACTTCTCACCCACATACACGGACGCGACAAAAGAACAAAATGTCAACTATTTTCGATCTCAGGCAGACCTGGAAGATTTTTTAAAAGTTAGTGGCACGTGGAAGCGTATTGAGGATGCATTGCGATTAGAGCATGAACTAGTGGTAGAGGAAGAGCGTGGAAAAGCGCTGGAGAAGTACCATCAACGGCTGGAACAACAAGCAACACGAAAGCGAAATATAGCACTTTATGGTCAGCCCGTTAAGGAGAAGACAAAGAAGCCAAAGAAATCTTTCAATAAGGCCTCTGATGCTTCATCAGGTCAATGCCTCTACAATGCTGAAGCTGAGGCTACAAGTCCTGAAAAGAATGACGAAGAATTACCCAAATTAAAATTTGGTACCGTTTTGAAAAAGCTAATTGGACGAGGATGGTA